TATTCAGCAACCACTGCTTTGAATTAATCAGCAAAACGCGAATCAACACTTTGGTCTGTCAACGAGTGTGTTCGGGAGATTCGATCCTTCCATCGTCCTTCGCGTTTGTCAATGTGGAACGCTCTTTTGACTTTTGTCATTTCCACGCCTACGCTAACCACTTGCAAATATCGACTCGACAATGCTTTACACCACCTACATTACTTGATCTGATTTCTATTCATTAAATGACGACAAGATGTAGACAAACCTTGTGCTTACCAACACCACGAAATCCAGCTAGACAGATATACTTTGTGCTAACATGGATAATATGATGAGTCCGCAGATGCGATTTTCACTTTTGTGCAACTTATTTGAACATACATTATTCCCTCAAACCACACTAGGGTATTTCTCAAGCCTTGGCTTTTTATTCCCGATTATAACATTCTTCCATTTTTCCCATCCGCCCTACAGTATCCATTCATCCTTGTAATGTAACTTGGTAACACGCATTGACTGACACGTTTCGTACAACCTGACTGTCCTTCAGCAGTTAACAGTATGTTCAGTAGTTTCCACCCATCACAATTTACAATCCATAAAGATCCACGACTAGTCTGCAAAGCAAATCCATAAATAAAATTTTTTGAGAACACACAGAAAATACGGCTTTGCGTTGCACCCATCTCAGCAAACGGATAGAGCTGCCGCGGCTTCTGTTTGATATTCATATACTATTGGATAATGAGAAACTGGAAGCACACATTGCAGCTCGCCAACATTCCCCTCCGTTTTAAGATTTTGGTCCTGTTGGCATGGACAGAGTGGCAATCTGTTGGGGTCCGATCGCACTGGTGCCCCCACAGCAGCTACAATAATTCTAACCGCCTTGTCTAGCAGAAAGCTAATGGTCTTTGGTAGACCGAATGTTCAACTTCGGTTCCATAATGCGATGGCGGCTGCCTGGTGATTTGGATATTCCCTCGTCTGACTGAAGTTGGTTGTGCAAATTATGCCAAAAGTTATGAAATTATAGTTTAATTATGTACCTATGGAATTAAGCGGATCACTTGATTTAAATGTCGCTCATGTTTATTTGTGTCAGCATATCCTCACGTCTTTCCGTCACGAAACGCCACTGACTATCAACAACCACTGAGGAACTCAGCACGCGATTGCATCTTCCCTATCTAGCCATCGATTTCATGACATAATTTAACCGTAGAACAATGTGAATTCACTTTGACCTTGTTATTTTTTGCTCTGTTATTTGTCCAGGGTTGGTCGCTCTTTCGTTCAATTATCCGCTTACCCAACAAATCGCACAAGGGAATCCAAACGAGTGTGCATGTGTCTCGGGTTCGGCATCGGGAATTTAGCGTCTTTGGTGTGACCTAATAAGTCTTGGTTAATTACGCTCTTCCATTCCACGGACTTCGTTACCAGATAGCAACCATCTTCGTTTGGCATCAGAAAAGCTGTTACTAGGATCACGATTGCGTTTTCCTCAGATAAGGCGGAAATGACTGAACCCGGAAAATCAATAATTGTTACTCTGCGATCACAGGTGATTATGGGATCATGCACACAGGCCGTTGACAGGTCAGGTTATGGGTTGAACGAATCCAGTGGGTTATGTGAGCAGGGCAGATATCTAACCAATTTTGCGATAACACACAGCCGATTTCACGATGCCGCATGAGGGTCACATGCACCAATGGTGGCATGTAGGTGAAGTGAATCACGACGAAATAATTTTACGGTTCCTCGTCGAAACTTATTTTGCCAACGCGAAATGCCGCATGCGTGGAACCGATTACTGCAAGCGTATGTAGAAAGAGAGAATTGGAAATACTTGTTTGCTTAAAGTGAACGTGCCGCAGTTGGATACGAATGTTAGCATCTGTGGAATGCAGAGGACAACACGTGCGTTGTTGTCGTAGATCATTAAGAGAGAGCCAGAACGGACTTCAGTGTTGGTGAGCCACAATCAACTCAGCGTTAGTCACCCGCTTAAAAGATATGCGCAGACAGTGCAAATTTGGAAGCGCAAGAATGTCAAGAATCCATCTGTGATAAACGGTTAATAGGATGTCCGAATATGGAAGACAGCGTACTTCCGCTATCGTGTACACCGCGACGTGGTATTCGTGCTTCCCGTTCGAACTGAGCTCCGTCAAATGATGCCAACAGGCATTTGGGCAAAATTTCTTATCATTCGAAACCAGCGCACAGTAGTTCAGATGCATGGAAATGGTGCAGTTCCTTAGCATATTGGCCGCGTGTATCTCAAACTGCAAACATGCATGCATTCCCTCATACAGACCCACCTTCAACTGCCGACCTGAAGATGATGGCCACCGATTGACGCCCATGTACCTATCCAAACAACATACAAAAACCGCCGAATAGTCTAAATAAAACAATAGAGAGACTGGTATTGCGGATGGAACTGTTTCGTGTTATCAGTTCAACCGCAAACTAACAACATATCTATGATTCACTGGACATAAAAGTCGAAGTTTTTCGACCAATCACAAAGGGGAGTTACGTAGATGCAAGTAGAGCAGACCAACGGGCTTCACCTGGCGGTCATGAGCCCAAGAAATCATTACAGAAACTGTGAATTGTTTCTGTACACCAAGAATAGGGCGACGTCGGTTAAGCGCCACAACTTCGGCATACCTCAGTAGTTCGGGGTTGTCGTTTCGATAGATAATTGTACACGTTAACTCGGGGCCAACCTGATGGTCCGTTTCGATTAGATATCTGGCAATAGATGATGCCGGCAGCTTAGATATTCTTTCTCGTTCGACTTATTGTTGTGCCGATAGCTTAGCAATCCGCTTTGGAAATGCTCTCTTATGCGCTTACACAAAGCTCAATCTGTTCTGCTACTCTAATTACTTACGAAGCTACACAGACGTTACGGGCCAATGGATATCCGGAGAGGTTCACTCTCTTTAACAGTCAACTGACGGAAAACGGAACGAAGGTACACACTGTGTCCAAACTGTCTGTCTATCTTCAGTAAGCTTTCAAATCTGACATCGTAAGCACACGACTTGATAGAAGCTTGTACACAGCGATTCGCCAGAAATGCAATGCCGAGAAACTTTGTCCCATTTGGGAGACCAAGGAGTGGCCGATGCCTCTAATGAAGCCGATATGCACCACAGCCCATTGAATTATCAATTCGTTTATAGGAGGTGTGTTCGCATCCAACATAAGCAGCGGCAAAATTCACAGAATAACGCAAAATGAATTTTAGAAGATGTTTGTAGCAAAAATTAGTGAGAGGCTTGTCAAACTGTCCAACGCCGCTGCGACTGCCGGTGGCCTGCGTGTGACGACTAGGGCCCAGTATGCTGCGCTTGTAAATTGAACGCTCGTGTTGTATTTAGAATAATAATGTATATTTTCTCGTGCTATCGGTAAGTCGTGTCCACGCAGTGACGGATGGTATTTAGATGTGCAGCACGCTCACGCATGCTGGTTTTTCAATAGTTGGGGGTTATACGGAAAGATATTTCGGGATTTACACTGGTGTTTCCTATCCGAACATGATCATGGCGGTTTTGGCTTCCGTTAAAGATCAAGGATTCCATGGATACAGTTGGCTCTTAAGCGCCACATCCTTGGGTCAGGACGATACATAAATCCTGTGGAAGGGCACGAATAACGTAACCCATGATGGCGTAGTTTGGATGACGATGTGCTGAGACTAGAGACAACCTGGAATCGTTTTTTCAAAGGTCCAAGCTAGGGAAGAATACAACTGAGTTGCATAGAGAGAGTTCTAGGGTTGGTGAACCCGTAGCGAATATATTGATAAAACGGAATACACAGAAACACAGTTAATAATTTTGTTGTAGCAACTGGTCACTGATGGCCACATGACTAAAGGAACAGATGCATGGCTAAAACCCACTTTTTCTAGACTTTACCGTCTCCCAAATATGCACAAGCCTGTTGCACCTTCGCGGCCGATATTGGATGTGAGGAACTCATCAAATCACAGCATCGCCAAATGGTTAACGTCCATTTTATGCCCTTTTACGAAATTAATAGCCGCTAATCAGCTTACGGACAATTTCCAATTTGTCGAAAATGATAAAACCATGAGCTTTGGAATATATTCCTGGATGTCGTATCTCTGTTCGCGAACTCGCACTTGTAGAATCAGTCAAATTTATTTGGATTTACATTGTGCGACACAATCCCAAGTTTGAGATAACAACTGTCCGCCTAGAGTAGCTTATACTCAGATGCGTTTATAATCTTCAGTTGCAATTCAACCATGTGTTATACAGTGAAGTAGATGGAGCGGCGATGTGATCATCTATGGAACCCCAGTTGGATGTTGCTGGATGCGACCAGATGGTGACGAGAGACACCGGATTCCGTGAGCCTGGGAATGATCGACATCGTTGCATACT